ATGTTCAAGCAACAACTTGACGATAGCTTCATGCCCATTAAGGGCAGCTTGGGATAACGGCGACGAGTTGTCATATCCCTTATTCGGATCAATAGCATCATGTTCAAGCAACAACTTGACGATAGCTTCATGCCCGTTGTGGGTAGCTTGGGATAACGGTGATGAGTCGTCATATCCCTTATTCGGATTAATAGCATCATGTTCAAGCAACAACTTGACGATAGCTTCATGCCCGTTGCGGGCAGCTTCGGATAACGGTGATGAGTCGTCACATCCCTTATTCGGATCAATGTTATCAAGTGCGAGAAATAACTTGACGACAGTCTCGTGCCCGTTACAGGCAGCTTGGTATAACGGCGGCGAGACGAAATCTGCCTCATTCGGATCAATGGAATACCGTTCAAGCAAGAACTTGACGATGACAGCATGTCCTTTTTCGGAAGCCGATCGTAGGAGATTCATGACGCCAGTTACCTGGCGGTTGGGATCTAACGCACTGGTAAGGAGATAAGAAGCAAGCAGTGTTTCTTCCTCTTCCTCGGCGAGATAGGAGATCACGCCTTTTCGTCGTGAGAAGACAAAGTTGCGTCCAAGTCTGGTCGGTTTATTTCTGTCCTGGCAATATCCTTCACAGAGATTGTGCAGTGGGGAGTCTGAGGGCATCATCTCCGCTTCCTTTCTTAAAAGCGCCCAAACAGCCTCACGGCTGCCCGTAGCAAGTGCCGCAAAGATCGGTGTGCCGTAACGCTCATCCTCAGATTCGATATCGAAACATGAAGCTGCCCGAGGATGGACGCAGATAAGATGAGGGAGATTCTTCTCTGCAAGAATATAAAGGAGGCTGACTGATTTGGTATATCGCCGAATCTGGTGCTTCTCTAGAAAATTGTTGAGAAAAGTCCACTTCTGACGAGAGACTTTGGCGAGGAAGTCTCTCTGGTCTATATCATTTTGTTGAGCGCGGTCGGCATGATGGAGGACGTTGAGAATTGCATAATCCAGAAATGGATATTCCGAATTGATTCTCTTTCGTGCGTCTGTCATTGCAGAAGCCTGAGGCAAAGGGTCTTCTATGCCGACAGTTTCAGGATCCAAGCTCTCCAGCTGAGCCAAGCAGCAATCTCTCAGAAGCATGTGACTCTGGCCCACAAAACCACCTGGAGCTTCAGACGGCTGGCTTTCGTATTTGGCCCGCAAGAAGTCTCTAACAGATTCGTGGATGAACTGGACTTCCGCAGCTCTGTTACGAGTGACTCCAGCCAAGCCTTTGGAAGAATTACTCACGAATGACTTCATCTTGTCAACCTCGATATCTTCTTTGTCCCAGAAGCCGGCGGATCCTTTGTCTTGCCCAAATTGAACCGCGAAATAGAGCTCCTGTGGTTTGAGTGGACGGACTGCGAAGAGGATCCATTTGAGGCAGATATGTAGCTGATCGAGGTTTTCACTATCTCTCGTCAAAATCATTTCGAACAAGTCGTGCAATCTTGGCGGAATTTCTTTGAGGCGATCGCCCATCTTCCGGATAGAGTCAGGTCTCTTCCGGTATTCGCGGTTGAGAATCTCAAGGACTAAAACGACCCAGAGGAAGATTCCAGAGGACTTTTCGAGAATCTCGGACCGGAGTTTATCGGCTTGCGCCGATTTGCCCAGCCTAAGACTTGACTTGATATATTGCTGAATATCTTGCGTGTGCCCGATTTCGTCCTCTAGAGTGACCTCGATGCCTTTCTCAATGACCACTGTTGGGTAATGCCGACTCGAAAAGCACACCTGTAACAGAACCTTCCAGTCTTGCGAGCTGTCACACAGCTCTTCGAAGAAACAAACCATGTCCGCAACCTGGTCTTGATTGCACTCGTCCAGTGCATCCACAAAGATCATCAGCGACCGACTGCCCAGTGCCTGGACGGCATGCCCAAGCGTCTGCTTCAGTGCTTGCTCGCTCCAGCCATTTCGCTGAACGACCTTTGCGCCATTGTCTGTCATCCATTCTAGGCTGGTTTGTGTTCCCGGAGCTTTCTCAAAGAGCTGGTGAAGAAGGGATCTGTAAAGACCTATTGTTGACTTCTCCTCGACCGTACCCCGGGCCAGGAAGAAGAAAGACAAAACGATTTGCGACGGATTATCTCTCACGTTTTCCTTCGCTTGCTCAAAGAGAAATTTCATGAGAGTCGATTTTCCAGTGCCAGGGTTTCCTTTCACCCAGAGAAATCCGCCGTGCTCCGGCTGTCGAGATGAGTCGTTCCACAATATATATTCGTCCTTGTCGAGGAACCAGCGGCAAGTTTTGCCTTGTGCGGCCGTTAGGTTTATTAGACGCTCGTCTATCTGGTCAAAATAGAGCTGGTCTATCAATGATTGTTTGAGAGTCGCATCCAATTCCACGGCTTTTGTCACTGGCTGCGGTTTGCAATGAATGATTCCGCCATCTCCACTGGTGCGACACTCTGGAGTAGAGTCGCCATGGCTCGACATCGGGGTTTCATGGTTGCAGTTCTCAGAAGCCAGGGTTTCACAGCTGCTGTCCTGGGCAAACATGACCCCATAGTATGGACGCTTATGTCGTTCGACTTCCGAGAGAGGTACGCAATTGCCCTCATCAAAATTTCGCTTGCGTGAGAGGCTCAAGCTGAGCCCTTGACTCGCTAAGACACAATGTTAGACAGTCAGACAATGAACAAAGACAATCATGCTGTGTCCACTCACTAACAATTGGCCCTATCCTTCCCAAAATTGTCCTTGCGTAGGCAGCAGCCATTGCAGCAGCGTATGGCTGCCACTCTTTGTTCTTGTGTTCATCCCCGTAGTCACAGACTCCTCGAACCACTCCGACAGGGATTCGATCCATCGTTCCAGCCGCCTCCATCTCAAGACCGATAAGGTCGTATTTGTCTCTCAGTTCGTTGCGTTTTTGAGCGTTCCTCATGAGTTTTTCACCTGAGCCTATTGATCCGTACCATATCCTAGTGCGCTTCGAGACCGGCCTTTGCTCTCGTTGTACGAGACGCTCGATGCCGCATTCATCAACTTGATAGAGTCTGTCTTGCTCTTGTCCGGGATCAGCATACGTTCCTAGAAAATGCTCTTTGTGTTCGATCCGTTTGTAATGCTGCAAGACCTCGTCTGCATCGTTTGGTGCCATGAGTTTGATGCTTCCGATAGCCGATCTGACGACAGTTTCGGTCCTAGCCAATCCATGGCCGGCGCGCAGTAGCTGAAATCCATTGTCGCCAGTCTCTTTTCCCAGGTCATAAGGTATCAAGCCAGCGTTATCCCCAATAGGAAGGCCTACGAGGACATCGCCCAGACGAATGTCCAGCGGTGGACAGCGCAAGAGATTCGGAAGACCAGCTGCGACGCCAACCAGCAAGCCGAACCAAAGGTTTGGGAAAAACTTTTTGACTTGATGTGCGAGAGCCGCTGCAGAACCTGTGCCGTACAGTTCGCCGGCCGGTAGAGTTGCTATGATGATGTTGTGCCCGCATGCATCTCCAGCTTGAAAGACGTAGTCATCCCCACGTTCCATTCGAAATCTGCCCGGGTGTCTATTGTCCAACATGTGCAGCGCGGCCTGCGCCTCGATCTCCAAGGGAGCGATCCATGCGACCGTATAGAGATTAGGATCTAGGTCGATCATCGTATCGGACGACTATCGGAAGGCAAATATATTCATATCGGGGGTCGGCGGGACGAAGAACGGTGCTCGAGTCAAGCGGGATCCAGTTCGATCAGAGTAACAGGATATGTTGATGCAACGGGAGTTCAGGTGCTGGAATATCGGGTCAGCAAGCATAGGGGAGGTGTAGAGAAAGCTTCAAACCTCAAAATTTGGCGAGTTCCCAAAGCATGAGCTGCGATGCTGAGGCAGAGACAAGTGAACTCATGGTACGAGAGAGGAAATCGGCCGTGAGGCTGAATCCTGTAAACATGCACAGCCCTGCGGCAGCAGCCCAAAAGCCTGACGACGTAGATTTCGTTGATTGGCTGCGGCCAGATTACAGGCATTCTCCTGCCTCGAGGTGCCCAGGCCGAAATCATTTCCCTGGCGCTAGGTATTAGAAGACGTCTTCCGCATATGTATTCTTTGACCAGACAACTGATACCATTCGGTGGTGAACTTGCATCAATCGAGCTTCGCGTATAAGGGCCGCAGCAAAAGCATTTCTCATGGTGGCTGCGCTGGCCTCCGGGCGACACAGCCCATAACCAGCGAAAAATGCAGACACAACCTCACTGGCAGTTAGAGAACCTGTCTGTTCACAAAAACTCCTGAATAATTTTATGCCAGTGGGTAGTTATAGCTACTGATCTTCTAAAGAGATGGATGATATACAGACATCCAGAATCTAACTGCAGGCCGACAGTATATAGATATAAATATATATGTACCTAGTATAGATATAGATATATTTTATCAGATATACATATATATAGGTATAAATATGTATTATTATAAAAATTTATATATAACGTATATACAAATCATAGGGCGAAGAAAGATGAACGACGCCAACAAGCTATTTGATAGTACGCCCGCTTTATCTTAGAGTTTTGTTTACTTCTTAGAGCAGACTGTGTAGAAACGACTTAAATCAAGACTGAACTTCCTCAAATGCGATACAATAACATGTCCCCTCATCATCAACCGCCTCCAACATCTCCGGGCAGGGATACTCATTCTCCTCAGCAGCCTCTAATAAATCCAAATGCTCACACCACTCAACCACAACTTCCTCTTGCTCCTCCGCCTCAACATCAGCATTCATGAATGCACATTTTGGCGCATAGACGTCAACCTCAATCTGCCTATCCCACCAACTCTTCCGCCCAATGCTGTGCAACTGATATGCAAAGATGATGCTCTCGCCCGACTGAAAGGACTCGCTTCTGCTTTTGGAGTATAAAACACCGGCATCGGCGCCTATACCAACTCCTGCTACAACCGGAAATCCCATGTTGATGCTCATCTTGCGTGCAGATGTAGTCACCCTCCTGTTCATACAGAATCCATTCGCGACCTTGAGTCCCGTAATCATATACACGGTCGCTGCTCCGCTCAGCCCTGCTTTAATGGCCCCCTGCACCTTTGGCTCCATGATGCGCTTTATTACTTCTTCTTCATCCAAAGGGTCTTGCTTGAGGCGAATTGTCTCCAGGGAGTCCATCGTGAATTCCAGCGACATGTCCTGGCTCACTTTGCGACTGATGTTTCCAGTTGCATTTTCAAGGAACTTTGCCCAGACGCTCCCTTGCAGCGACGTGCTGGTAGCGTGAGAAATTGAACAGTTGAAGTCGGTATGTGTAGTTGTAGGGGGCAGATTGATGGGAGTGCTGAGCGATTTGGTGGGATGAAACGGATCAGCAATGATGTTGCCGATTCGTATCGGACCATCCGACTCAGAGGTAAAGTTGGGAGCAAGGAGGTAAGTTCTGACACCCATACTGAGAATCTCATTCAAGAATGGTACCAAGGACATAGAATTTGCTTCCTTCAAAACGCTCAGAGGGCTTAAGCTTTTTATACAACGACAGGAAGAGGTTGAGGCTGAAGCAGCATCTGCATGGTGCCCAACGAGATGCATCACTGTCCAATCAGTTGACTGTACACACATGGAGGCCTCTGAGACTGATAAATTATACTATTGCAGCAGGTAAGCCATTGGGATGACCGAATCCGATGGCTAACCGAAGTTCAAAAGCGTCCCCATCGACGACAGTCCGGTTGCGGTGTGCTCATCCAAGGAATCTGGCTACCATTATTGCTGGCATCGGCGGCCCCTTTCACTATTCTGAACTACTGGCTCAATGATTCCCCATGACAGCTACCTCTTCAGTGGCGTACCTCATACTTCTTCGCGGGAGTAAATACATGTACTCGTTTCAGACAAGCCTCATCGCCTCCAAAAGAAGAGCGTCCCGCTGCTTTTCGTTCATTCCACTGTAGAACTCCTGTGGATAAATGTAAAAGCGTCTTTGACCCATCTCGCGAGCAAGCTTCATCAACACCAAGCTCATGCCACGCTTTGTCCAAAGTCTCTCCATATGCGCGTCCTCATCAAACCTATTCGAGACTATGCCCAGCCGCGCATATCCCAAGATAGTTGCCGCTATCCCTGCGACAATAGGAGTGGCAATTGATGTTCCTGTCTTGCAGATTCCTTCCTCATGTGGACTCAGCCAAACGCCCGGAACATCTGTCCCCAATGTACCAAAGATGTGCGTTTCCAACGCGTCAGCTGCTGGGTTGAAATGCTGGAATGCACCCTGATAATCGGTCGCCCGAATAGAGATGACTTCGTTGTGCCGAGCTGGGAACGCTTCTCTTTGATTACCGCCATCGTTTGCTGCGGCCGCAAAGAACAAGACCTGGCCGTTTCGCTGATGAATGGCTTTGTGAATGGCGTTGCTGATGACTGCCATTGTATTCACCAAAGGTTCTTCTGAGAATCCGAAAGACATGGATACAATGTCTGCGTCGGCACCATCACGGTTTGTGGCCCATTCGATTGCCTTTCAGAGGAAGTTAAGATCGGCTACCGCGTAGACATTGTGCCATCATCTTACTTGTGCAATGCTAAGAGCTCGACTTTGCAGGTCTTGAGAGTTCTCTGCTATTCGGGCCACGCATATTTCTGCTGCTGGTGCGAGTTTCATCAGGAGGGAGAGAGCATGTGAACCATGGCCATCGCGGTCAACAGGCTGCTCTTGACGATTCACAAAGTCCTTCCAATTTACCAGTCGTCTCATGCGAGCGGTAGCAGTGAAGAATTGCGACCCCGCATCATATCCCGTGTCTAGAATCGCGATCCGGATGCGTGGCAATGAAAGGTTTGCTCTGTATTGCTTGATTACAAGCCCGGTCAAGTATGAACTCATCAGGCTTTCGAGCCATATTGCAGAAGAGCTACTGTTACATAGTTTATTACATACGCCTCCGCAATAGAAATGAAGGATGTGACTCACATTCGCTTATTCAGAGAGTCCAACAGTGCGGGCATTGATGCGTTGGATGATTCAACATTCGTCTCCGAATAAGTCAGTCGGTGTCTTCCGTCGGACTCGTCGACGATGCCAGCATCAGTACACAAAGTCGCTAGTGGTAAAACCACGTAGGTATATAGAGCATTGCGCCGCTTTCTAATCGCGGCTTTGGATGAGGCGTTCGGAGAGTTGGAGACATGGAAGAGGTTGGGATCGAGGCATTTTCGGACAGCGTCTTTGTAAGTCCAGATCGCGTCATTGTTTTTGAGATCCAAGTCTGGCCAGGACTCGCTCTCGACGATCTCATGACATCTCATGAAATCGTTATTGATCCGCTCCTCTATAGATTTCGCCTTTCTCACCGTGTTCTGTTCATTCTGAAAAATGTCCACAAGTAAAACAGCCAAGGCCAGCACTCTGGGATACCGATGGAGAACGCTGTCGCCATCGTAGAATTCTGCAGACTCGAATTGATCTGGTGACGGCGGGTTAAATGCAAGACATGGGATAGCAGTGTTAATGTCTTCATTCGGGGATTCTCTCCACCGGCTCTCCCGCATGAAGTGAACTGAATCGGTTGTCCAAGGAGCTCTCATGAAATCAGAGTCATAATACTGCCAAACTGATTTTGCCAGAACATATGCCAGCAGGATTTTGGATCTGGTCGGCAGTCGTTGGCATTCTAGAACTCGAGACAGTGAAACGCTCTGGTTCTGCAATAGGCCATGATCGGACTTCTCTGCATCAAACAGCTGGTGAAGTTGACCTTCAATCATTTCGATGCGTATGCAGACACTGCCAAGCCGGCGACCAAGGAGACTGCAAAGATTTTCAACTCGAATGAGCTTATGGTCTTCTTTCTGTGTGATAGATAGTTCACACGAAAGATTATCGTCCTCCTTTTTCGCATACCGTACTACTTTCGGATTCACTGGCCTGTTCACCGATTAGAAACCTCCGATAGATAAAGGCAGAGGCAAAGAGTTATACTTGGGGATTTGCAACCGCAAATGCTGCCACAGAGCCTCAAGTATATGGCTCCTCGCAGGAGCAGCAGAAAAGAGTATGTCAAACACAACGTGATTTCGTGTTACGAAGGGCTTGGCCCCTAGCCTCAGCCTCGCCCAATGCTCTCGATATGTGTAGGATTCATCATCGCCGGGGCAGTGACAACGGGAGTGCTGCGATAGTGTGGCGTATAGAGTCTCGTTTATAATGCTGGGGTATTCATCCGGCGATTCGATTAAGCTATTTGGAAGACTTTGGTTCGACTGGCCTCGGTCATGCTCCCGTGCGTGTGAATTCGAGTCTGCGCGGGACACAAACGTCTCAAGATTCGAGAGGAAATTGCCCACATACGGCCCACTTGAGGAAGCAAATCTCAATATCGTGGCGGCTAAATTGCGTAGAACTTCGCCTGTATTGCTGGATGGTTGTTGCGTCATTGCGTAGAGGAACGGGAACGGATGACTGGCAACCGCTCCTTTGATTGCAAAGGATGGTGGCCACTGCATCAGATTTTGTGGTCAGGATATTTACAGCTGCGCTTACCGTCAAGGAAACTCACCTTGCAAACGGCTTCGAGAAGCTTGAGAAGCATTGGAAGCCTCTCGTCAACTCTATCACTCCGTCCGGGTGCCTCATTCACTAGAGCATGGTGAGTCTGCCAGAGCCACCCCACGAGAGGGCTCAGTATTCGGAGTTGATACTGGTCTCGAGATACTGTTCTTTTTGATATATCCATGGAAGCCATCGCTGCTGCGTGTGCCATTACCAAAGTGGTATCAGCGGCCAGCTGTCTCATCTTCCGAGCGTCCATTTCGATCACAGTAAGCAGTGGAAAGTAGATAATGTTGAAAGTAAAAGTCCACTACAAAATTGACAAAGGCTGCTGATGCCCAATTCTAAATTTCTTTCTTGGGCAGGCAACCATGGCTGAACCCCGCCGCATGATACCAGTATGCCTCTGTTATCTCAGCCTATCATCGATGAATGTCCAAATTAATGAGGAGTCAAAAACATGTAGGTCCAGACACGTACAGCTTCTGATCCTCGATTCTCTCTTCTCTGCAAATACGGGGGCCTTGGCTTCAGTACAAGCGAATGCTCTGGCTGGCGATATGACCAACCCTCCTCCGCTGGGCCCGCTCGACATATTTGAAGCAACGCAGGCCGCACGCTTCGCTCTCGAAGAATGCACCTCCGAAGAAGCTCTCATGCGGGATGAATGGGCTGAAAATCGCCTGTTAGATTTTAATCTCTGGGCGGCCGGAGTAGAAGCGTCGTCTATATCTCCGTCTAGTCTCGACAACCGCATTCTTGACCAACCGGCTCCTCGAGCTGCAGTACTGGCTTTCCTGTCTGCGTTGGAGGCATTTACCAGAAACTGCATCGAAATTGGTATGACTGATAATGACTGATAATGAGGAAGTAACTGTACATGTACGCTAACCGTGATGGCAGTGAACCGGAAATCACAGCGCATCACCCAAACTGGAGTCTACGACAACATCCGCCTTCCGTATCTCTCGCACGAAGCACTAGAAGCTTTCCAATTATGGTCCAGTGATTTGAATACCAGCAGCAGTGGCCATAGCGGTCCAAAGCAATCACTGTCTCCATTGGAACAAGCAATGATAGATGTCGAGTACTCTATCGACGAACTCATTCGTTTAACCACAAGTTTGGCAGGTTTTGGCACGTCCACATGGCTGCGCAGAGCAGACCTAAACTTCACGTTCCATGACTATGAACACTTGAACGATGAGAACTACGAACACTCAGAAGAGATCGATGTATCTGACCTTCGAGCTCTGAAGACATACTTGAGAAGCATTTTATTCTTAAGCTCCTCAGATGATTTTGCAAGATTGGATAACAGCAACCGCCAGAAGATCGACCGTCTCATTTTTGCTAACATGCGGCGTCGCAACCGATTTTTATACGCCAGGCGGAACGCAGAAAAATTGGCATCGCTGACATTGAAGAAAGCCGACAAAAGTGACCAGCTTTGGTTCACTGCTCAGGATATCACAGCACAGGACTCTATTCCCGAGACATCAACTGGTCAACGCGCCACTAAGCAATACAAATCGGAGATGAGGGAAAGCAGACAGCTTGGGTTCACTGCTCAGGATGTCACAGAACAGGACTCTATTCCCGAGACATCAACTGGTCAACGCGCCACTATGCAATACAAATCGGAGATGGCGGAAAGCAAGCTACTTCGTCCCACTTTGTTGCTTCAAAGGACGATCAACTGGGTGTCTAGCCTGGTCGTTCATACTGAGCAGACAAGCAAGCCACCTCGAGAGCTTGTGTCAAAAGCTGCGATCCCTGGAATCCCTGTGGATGAAGGTGAGGTTACACTGAAGTCGAGATGGCTAGAACCCCTCAAGGATTCAGACTTGATTTTTATGGTGCCGGAATGTTCAGAGGGGACACCAACAACAATAGCAGTCGAGAATGAGGCTACAGTGCAATGTCCATGTTGCTATCAGGTTCCGGCAAAGAGCGGATCGACGCAATTGTCGTGGAGGTAAATCGAGTCTTGGGATAACTTTCGCCTGAAACAGACCATTCGTTGACAATCATGCGTTACAGGAATCATCTGTCTGAGGATCTTTGCCCATTCACATGCATCTTCTCGGGCTGTGCAGCGGAAATACAATTGTTCACCACGCGAGACGCCTGGAAAACACACCTACGGCTGGAACACGAGTCATCCGTTTATTGGGAGTGTTATGTTTGCAGTAACGCCGATACTGCTGAGAAATTTCTGGATGACAAAGCCTTCATGGATCATATGAGACGGCAACATGGAGACACAATCTCAGTCACCGACATTTTGAAGTTGTCAACGATTTGCAAAAGAACGGCTCCCGCCGTCAAAGCTTGTCCGTTATGCATCGTGCGGCCCCAAGAGGACAAGCTGAATCCAGAAGACTTACTTGATCATATAGCAGACCACATCCATAAGTTCTCTTTGTTAGCGCTTCCGTGGTCAGACACACCTAAACTCACAGGGCTTGAAGATAGATCGACGCTTCGCCAAGCGCAAAGATGGCTGAGCACTAGCACCTCAAACAGTGAGATATCAGACAGTGTGTACAGTTTACTGGATGATCTTTTGCCTCCCAAGCATGTCGCAGAGAGTATCAGCGCTCTATCTAGCGCCTATCTACTCGCAGGAGAAGAGGAGGAGGATGAAAACTCCATGCACTCCCTATACCTCAATCTTGAGAGGTTTATCACGAAAAATGGCCTCTCTGATTACTATCCCACAGGCGCATATTACCCGCAAAGGGTTGCTGTGAAGTCAATGCAGCTGAAAGACGACCGTATGTCGAATTTCAAGGGGAAAGACATCTTTTCACTCGCCAAATTGGCTCTTCACCGGCTGGTCTTTTACTGTGGTGAGTATGCGGTCCAAAACGAATGATCCATTTACTTCATAACTTCGACCTAACAGGGCACTGACCGATGTGTCAGACGACAGCACCTCCATGAAATGTGGTACTCGTTGGCGTGACCAGCTGAGAATTGTCTCCCATATGGCGCGGATTTATGAGCTTGTAGTGCCCGAACCACCCGAGATTTGTCTGCAATTCCTCAACCACAGAACCCAAGCTGAGTGCACTACTACTGGAGAACTGGAAGAAGTCTTTGCAAGGGTTGAGCCTCGGGGAAACACTAAGGTTGGCAGAAACTTGCGGCGCAAGATACTCGATCCATGGGTTTATGATCCCATTGCTCAAGGCAGGAAGCTGGAGAGACCCATTATCGTATATTGTCTCATAGACGGCTGCGAGACTGGAGAGCCTAGAAATGAGTTAAGAGACCAGATCATAGGATGCGCAGAGTTGCTTGACAAGTACGGCTACGGCAGAAACAGTGAGTGTTTTCTCATATGCTTAGTTCCACGCATCAGCTTCTACGTACATGTACTGAGACAAGTAAAAGCGGTCATGTTCCAGATCAGTCAGATTGGCAATGACTCTAGTGCCGAATCCTTTCTCGAAGAACTCCGTAACGACCCGGTACTCGATGGGCTGCTATGGTGTACGACTGGTAAGGATCACTCTTCGTCTCCCAACGATGGCATTCAATTTCTGACAAGAATATACAAATGTAGAGCGTCTCGATGAGAAATACAAAGAATTATCCGAAGATGAAGCTGAGCTGGAACATTGGGTACGTTGGCATCCAGTGTAGATTATTATGTTCGATACTAAGTGAAACGATGAACAGTTGCTAGGATTACTGACGCACCCTTTTGATACGAAAGATGGCAGTGGGAAGCGTCACATTTCTGACGGCCCGAAACCTCCAGTTTCTGAAGAAGATGAATGAGATTCTCTACTTAAGCTTCAATATATATTTCTAGAGATACATATATAGCTATGTCACTCTTTAGGTATATAGCTATTTCTCTCTTTGAATATATGAATATATCTCTACAAATATATAAATATGTATGGTTATTTTACTTTTAATATAATACATACATCTATCACTCTTTACTTGGTTCTCCAGGCGACGAAGGTAGGGTGGGGTGAGAAATGCCTACATGTCCTACGATATCAGTTTGCAAAAGCTAGCATTACAGTTTACTCGGCACGGAGGTGACCTGTCGCAATCCAGTCCATCTACCTACTATGACGCCTGTCATTCCGTCCTTACAATCTTCAATCTCGAAAGAAAGGACAAAACAAAACCAAAGGCAGACGGTAGTGCAGGCAAAAATGACTGGTTCATGACTCTCCCCACGCTTTCGAAATCTCGCCACTGTTTTGGAGACCAAGTCTTCAAGGCCTATCAGCTGCGTGTAAGCGCCTCACTGGCTGCATCCGCGTACAGGGGTGACGTAACGCTATCTGAAGGCCAGGCCTCATTACAGCCCAAACGTAACGATGTTTCCATCTCTTCTTCCTTTCAAAAAAAAAAAAAAGAAATTCTTCTCTTTGATCTATCTCGAGTGATATAAAACACAAAATGGCGAGAGTGGACACTCCGGACGTCTCCGACGACGACTTTGCCATGATCAACTCGACAACGTTCGACAGCCCCCCCGCAGTTTCTTACCAGACTCCCAAGCTCATCAGCCGCCTCCAGCCAAACCAGCAGCAGTCTTCGAGAATGAATCAGGATAGTGGTAGCAACGGCGATGCTGCTGCTTCTGCTTCTGGGAAACCTTTGGTTCCCAATGATGGTTCCCTCAGTTCTTCGTTCTATTCGCAGACGAAAGCGAACATGAAGTCAATGTACAATAAGCTGAGAGGCAGAGACATTGTGATTGCCGTAATGGGGTATGCCTTCACTTCAATATGGTTTAACCCCGATAGCACTCAGCTCACACTGCACACAGCATGACGGGGTCTGGAAAGACGACTTTTATTGCCAATGCGACCGGGCGGACAGACCTTCAGATCGGCCACAATCTCACTTCATGTAGGGCAAAGCCAAGCTCTTTAAGCTCTTATACCTGCTAACAGGAGCTTGTAAAGGCACCCAGGAGATCCAAATCATCGAGACCACAATCGATGGCCGCACTGTCCGCTTTGTCGACACTCCAGGCTTCTCCGACACCTATCTGTCAGATACTGAAGTCCTCGAAATGATCGCAGACTACCTATCGGCAGGCTACTCCAAGGAAATGCGCCTGTCGGGCATAATCTACCTCCATCCCATCTCAGATAATCGCGTCACCCATCACGCCACCAAGAACCTCGACATGTTCCGAAAACTCACAGGCGAGAAGAACCTCAAGAATGTCATCCTGGCGACCAGCATGTGGGACAAGGTGACCCCAGAGGAGGGATTGAACCGCGAGCGGGAACTCCAGGGCAACTTCTGGAGCGTCTTCATGGCCTTTGGTGCACAGTACTGTCGACAAGACGCCTCGGCTCAATCCGCCAAGAAGATTGCATCCATGCTGATGGACAACGAGCCCTTCTTCCTCGAGCTGCAGGAGGAGATGGGTAAAGACAACAAAGCACTCAAAGACACTGCCGCGGGACGGGAGATTATGAGCCAGCTCTCACAACTCAAGGAGCAGCAACAGAAGGAGCTTGCCGAGATGAAGGAGATGCTCTTGCGGACCGCTGCTGAGGAGAACAAGGCCGCCATGGCCGCGCTGGAGCATCACTACAAGAAGATGATGGAGGGCATGGAGAAGACGATTTCGGATGAGAGGCGGATGAATGAAGAGGCGGCCAAGTCGAGTGAGGAGAAGATTAAGGAGCTGACAGAGAGGATCCACAAGCTCGAGAAGAAGGGTAGATGTGTTGTTATGTAAAGAGACGTGACTACATCCAGTTTCCCCAGCGGTTTCAGCCAGTAGTTTCTCCGAGCGTCGCCAGCACCTCAATGACCAAATCAGTAATACACTAGAAAGTGGTCTGACTGTTTAGGCACTCCTAGGCCGGCTACTAAGAAACGATCCGAAGAAGAGCAATTACCTATTATGAATTCGTCTTTAATTCTCAGGCCTGCCTGCAACGTTCAGTAGCTTGACTCAGCTTGAAACCTTTGACTGGGTACCTACTGGTTGGCCAATTTACTCAGTGCATGTTTTGTCATAACGGAGCGACAAGCGAGTTCGCCGTTTCGACTCAAGAGGTGGACATTTGAGATTGATACACGAAGAGTCAGAGGCTCTACCGATAGAGCGGTTGAGATGGCAGGACACAACTAGTAAGGGCCGGATTCTCTTAAGGGATTGTTTTGTGGTTATAATCGCACCTCAAAGAATCAGAACATTTGGTAAAGTATAGGAATACACGAGGTCGTTGGAAGCTCTCGGCGGGACAGTCATTACAATTCGGCTGGTTGGAAAATCACGGCTTTTCTGGACAATAGCGCCTGTGACATGGAGCTGCTGAAGGCCAGCTCTAAACTTATCGAACTTAACGGCAATACTTTCACCGTATGATGACATTTCGATCTCACGGGCTTAATGGGCATCGCGACTTGCTTCTGGGAAGTAACTATAGAGCTTGGGTCACATATTAAATCTCCATGCTCTCAGCTTTGCATCTTCATCCTAGTACGCTTCCGTTTCACAGCTTCCGCCGCCGTCAATCTAGTACGATAATTCAGTATCGCACAGGCCTCGACTTCAAGCAAGTGTGACATTCGTGCACTGATAAAGTGTTCGCTTCCCTGGATCAGGTTCAGTTATTGGTCTAACACTGAATGATGTCACATGTCAATGGATCGTTCCCATAGGACACAAACCCTTCGAACTTTATGTGCGCCATGTACCACAAGATGCAAAGTCAACCTGATCGAAAGTTGCCTCTACTTCTCCGAATATTTAGACCGCATCGATCACATGCAAGTGTGTTACGTATTAGGTAACAAACTTCGGTGAGTCACGGTTCTGCAATACAAAGAATAAAACCCCCTTTCCCGATGTCCCGTCGATGAAAGAATTTTTACACCTCATATTAGATACAGTCTTCAATGCATCAGCACGACGGACACCCTATCTTTAGACGCCGCAGCCAGCGCTTCATCAACGCCAATGCATCTAGAAGGAAAGGTTTCAAAGGCTTAAGTAGCCCCCCGCGTTTAACAATATTCACACTTCCTACGGAAATCCTCTTGATGCTCATCAGTTTCCTCGAAGGACCATGGCGACTTTCTTTAGCTATGACCTGCAAATTCTTTGCAAAATTAACTCCAGAAGAATTCAGGTCGTGTCTTGGATTGGAAGATCGGATCAAATTCCTTTCAACTTTGCAAAAGGATGTCCCCAACACATACTTCTGCTACTGTTGCACCAGGCTACGCCCGCTTAATCCAAGTCTCGACTGGAGAGCCCAAGCTCATGCAGACTCCACTCGTTCTTTCGAGAATTCCCTCTGGCTGCCTGTTGTCATCCGGTCAGGTCACATCAAACTTCCGAAACGCTATAATGTCTTCCTAGACAAGGGTCAAATATCATTCATGGAAGTCTATTTGTTCATGCGTCGACATCTTTACGGGTTCCCTCACGGTATTTCTCCGCAAAGCCTGGAAAGATACGAAGCGTTTGAGGACGTTGTTAAACTGGATGAATGTCTCTGGTCACGTATCAGCTCACCAGAGCAATTCAAGCTTGTACCAAAGAAGAAAACCCGCACTTTTGTCCAGCTTCCCGGACGAGGTCTCGAGGCGGTATCGAGAGCTGAAAACGCCTGGAGATTTTCCTTTCGATACACCCCTAGGATCGTCAATGACAAGCTCTATCTCGCCAGGTTCTACGCCGTAGTCGGGCCTCATGTACCCTTGGAGCACCTGAACCGCTTAATTAGCAGTATCGGGATACCGATCTGTAATCATCTCTATTGCTCGGCAGAGCCGTCCTGTTGCTCTCGCCACGACGGTCTACGAATGAACTATTTGCGTTACTATCCACGCATTCAAACAACACTGCCCTGTTTGTATCATCATGACGGAAAGGACCTCGAGTTTGATTCGAAGCAGGACTCGTGTCTCATATGCAGCACAGATTACGACGTCTCACTCCGCCGGAGAATGAGCAATAACGAAACAAGCTTGAGCATCAGTATGTATCATTGTCTTGGGTCATGCCAGTCTCCAAATGACAAACTCTGGGCTTATTTCGCCACTTCTGGCCGAGAACCCTGGAACCATGGGACTTTCCTGCCCTCTACTAAGGATGAGGTTTCGGAGGCGCCTCTATCCCTATCCTTTGGCGGAAACGCTGCCGCCCGGTTTCGCTACGATGTCAGCCATCGGTTCCAAAAGCTCAAGGCTCGCATTCCCGAGTTAGATCTTGGAGGTTCCCGACGGATATGGCACGTTGTACCATGCTCGGAATGACCTTGCTCTGTGCTACGAACATAGAGGACTGTGCAAATGGCGAAAGCGTTGGCGGTTCGCCCTCTATGCGCTTGGCACCGCGACCGTGCGCTGGGTAAATCCAGGTCAGCGTTCCTTACAACGCCTCAGACTTCCGATATCTGTCGGCCAGCTGCGTGTACACGATCCTCGGTGGCTACCGGCTGACAACGGAGCGATGTCAATCGCCTGTCCAAGAGCGGGCTCACTGGACCGTCTCGCACGGGAGATCTACAAACACATCTCGTGCTTATTTCAGACCACTCTTCTCGCCTCAACACCAGCTTTCCTATCTCCTCGAATATTGTCTAGACGAAACCCTCAGGAAGTAGGGATAAGCCGCACTTCATGATGCCCTTCATGGTTCATGTACAAACATACGTCCTCATGACTTATCTGGCCTAGAACAACTGCGGTGAATTCCAGCTATCATCACCACCCATCATCTGAACCCATCTATAGGACGTTGCCTCTCGCATCTAGGTAGTGGGAGAAACAACCTGGAAGAAGTAGCGGTCATGTCGACCGGTTCCGTCGAAGTTACTCAGGGGTCTTGTCCAGAGGCCAGATTCTCACCAGAAGATAGAGACTGTGCTTGGTGGTTCCAAAATACTGATCCCAAAAGGTTGGTCGATCAGATTGCCGGTTCTGGCGCAAGGGGCGGATGTTTGGCGTTGATGCAGAGAGTCGGAGACTCTACCGATACAGCGGTGGATTTTGCAGGGTAAATTCATGAAGGCTTTTGGATATATCCAGACGTTGTAAGTGCGTTTGATAGAATGAATCTATTAGATCTAAAAAAGGGAATTGACATCTTTGTATCGCTATTTATATCTATTATGTTCTATGCTGCAAACACGGGCCGTAAGGACTCAAGTTGCTTTCCTTGTGTTACAGAGAGCTACAGGCAGAGGGAACAACGACTTCTTACAAGATATCATGTCTCTCTAGAGAAGTATAAGGTAGTAGATAAGAATAATCCCAGGAGACAATTCATGTGCTAGCGATTGAACGAGGAAGTTACAGTCTCGTAAGTTAACCCATATTATACAGCTACCCTAAAAGAATTCATAAGATTTTAAGAATCTAATAGCTATAAGCTCTTTATAAGGACAAATAGCAGCGTCGCATTTAATAACTCAATGAGGCAAAGTGCGTATATCACGTGACTGCCTAGGTATGTTTTTATTTAAAGAGCCCAGGCCTCTTTTTTCTAAGGTAATATTAGCTAGAACTACTTGTTAGCTCTACTTTCAGTAGCTAACTGTTTAGACTAAGCCTTATAGTTAGGTATAAAAAATCTAGCCTGCACTTAAAATAAGGCCTAACTTCTTAAAAAAGAAAGTATATTAAATTATATATAAAATATAGCTATTTTTAAGTTACTTTTTTTATAATTATATTAAATTACATTCTAAAGGAAATTATTTATTAAATCTTTATTACTGCTGTATTTTCTTAAAGTCTTATAGTATAAATTTAATTATATTATAAGGCTATTAAGGCAGCGTTTTTAATCTAGGTAATAGCAGTAAGGTTAATAATAAAGGAGGGTTATTAAAGTTATTATTATTACTACTACTAGCCTTACTACTACTAGCCTTACTACTAGCCTTATTAATAAAGTTAATAAAGGTTTATTATATTATGCCTTATATTTCTTCTTATATAGCTTTATAATTATTATTATCTTAATTATTAAAAAGGCTTATTATAAAGTTAATTAAGCTATTTATTAAGGCTTTTTAAGAATAGTTAAATATCTGCTTTAAGATATAAGGCTTTATTTAAGTGCGCTAGATAATATCTTTAATATATTAAGAATATTAACTAGTTATATTAATAAAGAAGATATTATCTTTATAGCTAAGAAGGTTTATAAATTTCTTATTTTAAACCTTAAAAGTAAAGAACTTATCCTTCTTTTTTATATAGTTTAGCTAAGTCTTAAAGGTTATCCTTTTTAAGCCTAATGCCTTCCTCTTAATATAATTATCTTACTAAAGCTTTTTTAATTATTTAATCTTAATCTTAATAACTTAGCAGGCTTTATAAACTTATAACTTAATTAACTTAGTATTATTAGCTTTTTTAAACCTCTTATCTTATTATTAAATTTAATTAAGGCTAATAGCAGTTATATAAAACTCCTTAAATAGCTAGATAAGCCTGCTATGCTTTTTATAACTTATTAACTTTTTAATATAGTAATTTTAATTAATAATAAAGTTATTAATATATCTCTTTAAAGTAATAGCCTTTATAACTATAAGGCTAGCTTATTAAAAGCCTTTTTTAATTAATAAGCTTATAAAGTTATTATATTTCTTATAAATACAGTATATAGCAGCTAAAGCTTAATAAAAATATATCTCTTTAAATAATAATAATATAAACACTAGGTTAATAGCTTATTAATATCTTAAGTATTTAGTAAAGATATAAATAATAGTTAAGGCTATATTTAGTAAGTAAATTTTTATTTTCTTAAAGCCTATAATAATATTATATTTTATAAAGCCTTTATTATATATCTTTTAAAATAAGGCTAGGAAATCTAACTATATAAAGGCTAGATTACTTTTAAAGACTAACTTCTAGAGTATTTTTAATAAGTGTTTTTAAGTAGCTAAAAAACACTAATATTAAAGGGTTAAAGAATATAGGTTAAGTAAGAAAGGAAGATAATAATAATAATATTAAATTTAATATAATATTTAATAAAGTTAATTATTATATAGCTAAGGAAGCTATTAATAATAAAAAGGTAATATATTCTCTTTTCTTTAAGTTTTTAAATTAATAGTATAATTAGTAGTATTAAGAGATTATATTAATCTTAAAGCTATTTATTATAATTAAACTATTCTTTAAGACTTAGCTTAAAATATATAGCTTTAGCTAACTTCTTTTATAAGTAATAGTTAAAGTAATAAAGCTATTAAAAGGTTATCTTACTATTTAAAAAGCCTTCTTTTAAATAAGTAAAATAAATATTATTATTACTCTTAATCTTAGCCTAAAACTTAATAAAGAAGGTTTTAAAAATTAACTAAGGCAGTATAAACTTATTAATAGTTTATTAACAGTTAGAGCATATACCTTTAAACACCACCTCTTTATAACTAAACTGTCTTATAGGAAATCCATTTACTAATAAACTATTAGGACTGCTATATATAAATAAGTTAAGATACTATTTAATCTTATAAAGACTAAGCTATTCTAGCTTAGTTTAGCAATCTAGGGCTTATTTCTTAAAGACTAACTTACTTAGTTTTCTATCTAGGATTAGGAGTATCTTCCTTCTTATACACTATAGCTATCTAGTCTCGCTTAGTTAGCCTTATCACACCCTTATCCATTACCTAGCCTAAGGCCTATATGCTTCCTACTATAAAATAGTATTAATATAGCTAATAAAGGTTAAAGACTTTTTATTACTTAAATTTATAACTTCTAGCTACTAGCTTTAAAATATATATATAATAATAATAAAAATACACTTTTAAAGGCATCCCTTTTAAATACTATATTTATTTTTATTCTAGCTTTTTAAAAGACTTATATTATATTTAGTAATAATATTAATAAAGTTATTAAAGAAAAGCTTTAAATAGTTAGGGTTAAAGGCTTTAAATGCCTTTTAGGCCTTATTTATAGCTTTAATAAAGGACTTTTAAAGCTTTAAATAGTTTTAAAGCTATTATAAGTACTAGTTTCTTCTTAAATTAGTAACTTTAAGATTATAATAATAGTAAAGGTTATTAGCAGTAGCTATAACCTAGGTCTTAGTTATAAGAAATCCTCCCTTTTATAACTATATAATATATATAACTAAAGCCTTATCTTTATTATTTATTAATAATTACAGCCGCCTAGGCTATTAAAGGATAGGATTAGGGGTTTAAAATAAGGAAATTATATATTTTATTACTAATAGATTAATATTAAACTTAATAGCAGCAGCTTATATAAAAATTAGCTTTTAATTATAAAAAGGTTAATTATAATCTTCTAGGATTATAACTATAGCCTTAAAGGTAATAAGGAAGTTATTTATAATATCTTAATATAATAATTATTATTAAAAATATAATATTATTTTTATTTATATATAAATTAAGTGTATATAAGAATTACAGAAGGTTAGGCTTTATTTTAAGTGCAGGCTAGATTTTTTATACTTAATTATAAGGCTTAGTTTAAATAGTTAGCTACTAAAAGTAAAGCTAATAAGTAGGATTATAATATATTAGTTCCTGCTGTTTTAGCTCTGCGTAAAAAGCAGGGTAATTTAGTTAGAAATGTTATTCTACTATATTTAATACAGTACTGCTAAAAAATCCCTTATATAAATATACTTAAGGTACCTAGGATAAGAGTAACCCTGTATAAGGTTATACCTCTAAACTAAAGTATATACCTTTATATATCTAATACCTATATACTTAAGGTAATATATAATATAATTTCATAAGTTATATAACTTAGCTATAAGTAACTTATTTCCTTAAGCTTATTATTTAATAATTTATTTATAATACCTAGGCGTTTTTATATATTTTATATATATATTACTTATATTATAATTATAATACTACTATATATACCTCACTTTACACTTTATAATATATAATATTCTTATAATACTACTATTTCTTTAAATTTAGCATATTATAACTTACTGCTACTATATTTACCTCTCTATTCTCTTTATTATTAGAATTACTTATATTTTCTACTTATATAGCTATGCAGTTATTTAATAGTTATTTCCTCTTATATTTCTTACTTAGCAGGTTAACTAATAGTTTAATTAGTGCTATAAGAGTATTATAAGAGCAATAGCTTAATAATACTTAAAAGAGTAAGCTAGAAAAATTATTTTACCCTGCGCTTTATCCCTTTAAGTACTATATAAAGTATAATTTCTACTACCTTAAGTACTTAGGTAATTATCAGTTAGTCTTACCTAAGTA